TGCCAAGGAGATAACATTCAAGTATAGAAGAACTCATCCTAAGTGAGTAGATCCAAGATTCTGGCAAACAAGATCTCGGCACTTAAGTCCGAGAAGAGAAGAGCTCAGTGAGCAGATCTCAGATCCCAGAAGATAAAAAAAAAAGAAAACACACAAGGTTGGATTGCAGTTAGCCAGGTTGAAGACCTTTTATAAGGTTCGCAAAGGAGTATGTGAAAGCCATGCAGGGGGCAGAAGAGAAGAAAAATATGTTTACCACTTGTTGAAATTTGTAGCAATTTACAAGTTGGCTAAATCGATATGATGTTTACCACTTGTTGAAATTTGTAGCAATTTACAAGTTGGTTAAACCGATATGATGTTTACCACTTGTTGAAATTTGTAGCAATTTACAAGTTGGTTAAACCGATATGATGTTTAACACTTGTTGAAATTTGTAGCAATTTACAAGTTGAAGTTAAACCGATGTGATGCTTAACACTTGTTGAAATTCTGTGTGAATTTACAAGTTGAAGTTAAACCGATGTGATATTTAACACTTGTTGAAATTTTGTGTGAATTTACAAGTTGAAGTTAAACCGAGATGATGTTTAACACTTGTTGAAATTCTGTGTGAATTTACAAGTTGAAGTTAAACCGATGTGATGTTAACACTTGTTGAAATTCTGTGTGAATTTACAAGTTGAAGTTAAACCGATGTGATGTTTAACACTTGTTGAAATTCTGTGTGAATTTACAAGTTGAAGTTAAACCGAGGTCGTATCGGAAGAAGATTGGTTTAAACACTCGTTGAAATTCTGTGTAAATTTACAAGTTATAGTTAAACCGAGGTCGTATTGAAAGGAAGATGGTTTAACACTTGTTGAAATTTTGAGAAAAATTTACAAGTTGAAGTTAAGCCGAGGTTATGATAAAGGATGATGGTTAAAACACTTGTTGAAATTTTTGAAAAATTTACAAGTTAAAGTCAAGCTCAAGCAATATTTGCGTACTTGCCGAGACTACCGGATTGTCAAAACTTGAAATATGGAAAACTGAAGTCTTGATAGAAGACATTGAGAAAGTGACAAGTCCTAAGCAACACTTGTGAAAATATTTGTTACAATATTTTCAAGTATTAGGACAAGGCCGAGATGAGCAAGATTAGAAGTTGTGACAGAGAAAAAAGAAGACATTCATTCAAAGAAGAAATTAGAGAAATGCATTTAAAGAAAAAAGAAGGCACTTCGGCCTAAATATTGAAAAATAAATTATTCAGACTACAAAAATGGCACGTCGGCCGGATTAAAAGCATACAAGGAAGGACAAAGTGCAAGGTATAAGGAGTAAAAGAAGGAAACAAAACTACTTGGCATCAATGGCAGGATATAGAAGACAGTTGGGAAGACTTCTCAGCAGCCTTCTCGGCCTCGAGCTCAGCATCGATCTCCCGAAGAGTTTGATCAAAGCTCTTCTCGGCGATTGCCACCTCGGAGTTTGAAGGCAAGGATTGAAAGCAAAAATCTGGAAAAAGACACAGAAAACAGAAACAAGAATATAATTCGTAATCAAGAATGGCGATGAAGCTATCAGGAAATCAAGACAAAAAGATTGCACAAATGTGTCAAGCCAAGAACAGTGGCAGAAATCAACAGATGTGTGAACAGTGTGTATTCAAGAAAATGATTTGGAAACAACGGGTAAAACAGCAATGGTGATTAACAATGAAGCAGAGCTTCTTGGAAAGCAACAAAGAAATAAAACCAGGAGGAACAGTGGCTTACCAGAAAGAGGGAAGTCGGAATGAGAATTGCCGAAGTCTGACGACGGATGCGAAAATGACAGAATGACGTAAGCTTCACCGAAGGAGAGAAACGAAAACAGTTGCAGAGCTTGAAAGCTTGGAACAATGACGGATTTAAGCAAAAGAGCTAGAAAGAGAAAAGCCAGAGGATTGAATAAAAAAAGAGAAAAATCAGAGTCAAGAAGATGACAAAGTTCAAGAATAAAGCCAAGTGCACAGGCACTAAGTAAGTATGTGAAGAACAAAAAAGTAATGACCCAGACACGATGCTAGCAACAGAAAGCGGATATGGCAAGAACAGTGCCAGGCGTTCAAACAATTCAAAACTTGAAAACAGACGAAAATAGAAGACAACAGAGGGCAAGTAAACGGATTCAGAAGAGTAATGAAAGATTGAGCTTAATAAAAGAGTTTATGAACCTACCAAGAGAAATGAATGCCGATATGAAGTTCGTCGGAGTCAAATAGATGACTGGAAGTCGGGAACCCATCGAAGAATGTGAGTGAAGCAGTTGCAAAGCTCTTGGAGTTTACAAATTAATGGAACAAGAACCTCGGCTAGGAGGTCTGATCTCGAGCAGCTTGGAAAGCATGTCAGAGTGCCCCCGGGTGGACGAACCACTCTAACTTGATCGTCGAAGTGCCCCCGGGTGGACGAACCACCGTCGGACTCTTCTCTTTCTGTTGCAGGTCAACCAGGTGCCATCTATTCTGCTGGTGCTCTCCAGCTGGTTACTATGCGGGCAGTGTGGTCAGAAAATCACCCACACTCTCTCTAAATGCTTGAACCACACACAACCTAAATGCAGACCTAAACTGTACTCACACACATGACATTTTCCAACACTCTTCGGCTCCAACGATTGAAACACAACAAAAGAAGTATCTGAAGCACAACATTCTCTAACATTCTTTAAAGTGTACAATTTTTGAAAATTAATAATTTTTAGTTATTATTTTACTGTTATTTTGTAAAAACAATGTTATTGTTTTACTATTTTTGTTATTCTTTCCATATTAGCTAGGGAAGAAAATGAAACCATTTGATACTAATTATCCAAATAAATTTAAAAAATTAGGCAATCAACAACGGAATAAAATAATAATTTTCGGTTCTTTATTTCTAAATAAAAAATAAATTTTTGACATACTACCAAAGGAAAAACATTCGATTCTATACTTTTTAATTAAATTTATATTTTTAATCTCTATTTCCGAATCATTTAAATAGTTTTAGTTATGTATTTCCAAATGAGATTTTAATTTTTTTTATCTTCGCTATTTACATATTTTCAGTCTAATATGTGTATTTTCTTAAGGAAAATATTTGAGACCCCTAAATAAACCCCCACAATTTCACCACAATTATGTGGAATGATATATGTCAACTTTTGATTTGTTAGATATTCAAGTATGTGGGGGCTTTACTTTCTTGCCACATCATTTGAAGTGTATTTAGAGGTCTCAAATATGAGTCTCTAACATTACTCTTTTTTAAAACAAATATATGTACTAAGAATTTTCATATGTTCAAAAAATGTCTATTTAGAATATCTAATTTTAAAGTTTGGTGTGTGTTTTAATGTCCATATTGGTCATTTTGTTTAATAATGAAATTGTAAGAGAAAAATTAATTTATTAAGTATCTACAAAAAGTAAATAGTATGTGGAAATGGAATTATTGTACCTTTGCCATGAAACCCAAGTAACACATGGCCCAACGAGCAAGGCACGTATCAATATCCTTTGCATGGATGATTCTATTTATACCCGAATAATAATTCAATACGTTTAATAAAAAATTTAATTCCTATTATATGTTAATGTAAATTTATTAATAAGGATAATATCAATTAAACCTTAAAATAAGATTTTTTTTTTTTTCTCATGGTACATCCAAATCACTTATATATATTCTTCATATTCAATGCTATTAATCTTCTTCCCCAAGTTTCAATTATTTTCTCTTCATCTTTTTCCTCACCCCAAAACTCCAATTCATTCCACCAAAATTCACAATTATCATCAATATCATTATTTCTTATTGTGTTGTTACTTACAAATAGAACAGAATAATATGTGCCACTGTAAAAAAAATAAAAAATAAATAAAAAAATCTGGGAATTGTCAAGAACACAATAATTTTGAATTCAATTAATCAAATCAAAAAAAAAAAATTTGTTTCTTGTTCAATTAATCAAATCGAAAAACAAGTAATGTCTCGTTCAATTAATCAAACATCAACTAGTATTATCCTGGAAAGCTTTAGTTCTTGCGAATTGTTAGATGATCATTCAGAGATGCCATGGAGGTTCAACAACAAAAGTATTCTTCAATCTTTATGGAATTATCATGAGGTTTTTCAATAAAGTGTTTCACGGGGCTATCACTAATATAATAGGAACACATATAAATAAATATGATGCTATATAAAATAACTCACACCAATCGTTCTTTGTATATGAATAAAATAGATAATTGTAATGAGAAATTTATTTAAGGGCTTTTGAATGAGTTTTTCAAAGTGATGTAATTTGAAATTTTTTATTTGTTTATTATTTGGGTGGATGTATTTTGAAAGGTAATCTGTGAAAAAATATAGTGTGTATTGAAAGTAAATTATAATTCTAAATAATTTAATAGAATGTACTGAAAATTTAGGCGCACTTAATAATTTTTTGGAAAGCCCAATCTGATGGATTAATTGAAATTTTGTGAAACAAACGAAGAAGTGGCCAGCTAAATCTAACAACAGCCCAGCCCAGCCCAATCGGTTTGGTTGAAAAAAGAATTCATCGTATTATTATTTTTTAGGTGTATTATTATACCTGTCTAAAAATTAGATTCAATTTTAACAATCAATTAAAATATAAAGTAATATTATTTTTTATATTTTTTTTAATTATCAACCAATCGAATCACTTACACATTGATCTAAAAAATAAATTTAGAAAGTAAACTTATATATTATCTTTTATTTTTTAATTCTTTTGTCGGAACAAAACAAAAAAGTAGCAAGAGAGCCCACCTTAGCTAAGTTGTCAGCTTGTGGAGGGTTGTCTGTAAATTATCCAAAATTTAGAGTTAATCCCGGATAAAACTAAATATAGCTCTCTCTCTACTTAGGCACCATCTACCCTATGGCAATGATTAATTAGCAACTGCCGCTAACAGGAAAAGTCAATGAATTATCTAAGTAAGTTATCCAAGTGCGATGTTTAAAAGATGAATTGAACTACATGCTTGCATATTGAGGAATTAAAGTCATACATAAAACCTATTACATTAATTATAACAAAGGATTCGGCAAATTCATATTAGAAAACAAAATAAGCTCCTCAAATCATATATATGTGAATAAATAGTAGTCTTCGATCTTAATTTTTAGAGAAGAGAAATGCATTGTTGGTCTCTGAATCGGCTTTGGCAATCTAGCTAGAGAGCTAGAGGGCCTGAGGGTAGGTGTCGAGGCAGTCAAGCCATGGATTCCTCAGAGGCTTCCTAATGTGGCGCATTGATCGCCAAACCGAGCTGTTGCATTTGAAACCAGAACCAAATGAAAGCTGCCAGACGCGGTCACCTCTCTTGACCCTTTCCTTGGCTTCCAAGTATGCCAATTCGTACCAAATGCTGCTACTGGATGTATTGCCAAAGCGGTGAAGAGTCATCCGAGATGCTTCCATGTTCTTGTCACTCAGCTCCAGGTTTCTTTGCAGCTCATCCAGCACCGTCTTGCTTGCTGCATGCACGCAGAAGTGCTCGAATGCAAGCTTGTAGTCCGGAATGTATGGCTTGGACGCCACCGCGGCCTTTGACTGCGAGCCACCACCGCCACCGCCACTAGCAAACAAGTGCCTCCAGACGAGGGTCACGAAGAACATGAGCTGCTCCGAGAAGGGCAGCACAAGGGGCCCTAGTGTGGTGATGTTGGTCTTCAGCGCATCTCCACCTATTTCCACTAGTTCTCTGCTGACTTTTAATCCCTTGAACCTTTGGTCATCTTCCTCTTGGTAAACACACCTAGTGCATCGAATGAGAAAAAGAACATGATAGAGTTCTCATGTATTAGTTTGTGTCGCATGAAATATATAGTAAGTACGGTTTAATAGTTTAAATAATTTTATATTATTCAATCACTAATCATTTATATATCTATGTCTAAAATTTATATATATATATATATATATGAATGATTCGAGTTCAAGTTGTATGTTTCTATCCATGATTGGTCGGAATTTTAATTCAATTTTTTAAATTTTGTCTAGACTTTCACCAAATTAAAAAAAAAAATGTTACTCAAAGTTAAGCTTACCTAAATACCCAAAATACCCTACATGTCAATAAAAAAAAATTGTAACGTCAATATTTTTTATAAATTAATTATTTATATTTTATCCAACTATTTATAAACTCGAATCATTTAAAAAATCAGACCTAATATTTAATGAGTTAATGGATAAATAAAATCTAAATATTTAATTTAATAAAAGTGTCACACAAATCTGTTATTCAGCCGAAGAAAGAATATTTTTTTTGATTTGTTAAGTATTCTATCATATGGTGTTTAACTTAATATTATATCATTAAAAATTATTTAAGACTGATAAATTAAATGAATATAGCATTGTTGTAGTTGAAAGTATTTTGTGTAAAAAGCCCACCTATGCTTGGTGAATGGTTGGTTGGGAAGTCATTTAAAGTCTCTGTATAATAAATATTTTTTTTTTGAAAAAAAACAAATATTATATTTGTCGAGTCCACGTGATTCGCAATCCAATTTTATCATCTACAATAGATATCAAATACGATTTTATTATCTTTATATACATATATATATATATATATATATAGATTCAAAATTAATAAATATATTGTAATATGGAAGAAAAAAGAAAATATATATATATATATACATATAATGATGTAAATTAATATTTTAAAAAACTAACAAATAAAAGATAAGACAAGATGGGAAAATTATTAGGTACTCTCTCGAAGTGCTATATGGCTATATTTCCTGATTAATTACTATTTATTATGTGTTATTATATTTTGCAATCATTCAATACAAATAATTCATATTCTACTTTTTTCACCAAACATATTATCATAAAATAATTATGTGACCATACTCAGGGATAGAGCCACAGCCTAGGGGGTCACGTGCCCCCTAAACTTTCAATATTTAAACTATAACCCATATAGATAAAAAAAATTATGTATTATATATCTTTTATAAAATTATAATAGTGACTCTCTTTAAATTATGTAAAATTTTTTGATTTTTAATAATTATCTATTTTATTATTTTGATTATTCTTGTACACTTTTAATTGATAGATCAAGACAAGAATTGAATCAATTAATAATTCGTTTCTTATTATGAGATTTGTTTAGTTGCTTATTTCTCATCATTGTGGGATACTTTTTTTGAATTGATAGAATTGAACTTATTGATTATTTGATCCATAGAATTTAGTTATTGATTGTGGATTTATAAGTCACATTAATATAAATCTCAGGATAATTGTAATAAAAATAAAAATAAATATGTATAAATTTAATAATATCTCGTTGTTACTTGTTATGAGAAAAAAAAATTAATATTTTGTGATTAATGTGTGTCCCCTCTACATTAAATTTCTGACTCCGCCACTGACCATACTCCTAAATTACAGAATAATCACCCAATAAGATGTCCTACCCATCCTCATAGCTAACATTACATATTGTAGCGTTGCACGTAATATTTATTCCACATGGGATGATGAAGTCTAACTAAAACCCACTGACAAAATGCTAGGGTCTGTTTGGTAACGTTTATATTTTCAGTTTATATTTATAAAAAATTTATAAATTAATTTTTGTTTGTTTTTTATTTATTTTTAGAAAAACATAAACTACAAACGCGTTTGATAATTGACAAAATATTTTAAAAAAATTAAAAATATAAAAAAAAGTGAGAAATGGCAAGTGGTGGCAAGTGGCGGCAGAAGACGGTGGTGGAAAGTGGTGACGATGGGTGGTGGGTAGCGGGTGGCGGTGGGTGGGTGGTGGTGGTGGTGGTAGTGGTGGCGGGTGATTGGTGAGTGGTGGTGACAAGTAAGTGGTGGGCGGTGGATGGTAGTGGCGGGTGGATGGCAGGTGGGTGGGTTGGTGGTGAGTGGTGGCGGCTGGGTGGTGGTGGGTGGTGGGTGAACGCTGGCAAGTTGGTGGGTGTGGTTGGTGAGGGCAGAGGTAGACGTGGATAAGGCTAATTGTAAAACAGAAAGCAGGATTTGGTGGGTGTAGCGCACGGTTGCATGAGTAGCAAATGGGGTTTGTCAGTAAGTGTGCGGTATATGGTGGGTTATACAGGCGTGGTGGGAGACACGGGTTAGGGTAAGGTCAGGAGGTAATGTAGGGAAGCAGGAAGGGTAGGCTAGGATCATGCGCGGTGGCGCGTTCGGGCCAGGCCTGCTAAGCGAGTCCTTTACGGGTGGTAGCAAATTCCGGCGCTCCGGCGGGAGGGCGGGTGTGGTGTGGGTTGGTGGGCAAGGTGGCTAGTGGTGGTGTGGATGGGCTGGTGTGGCGGGTGGTGGTGTAGTGATGGTGGTGGCTTGGTGGTGACGGGTGGTGGATTGGTGGTGGCAGTGGGTGGTGAGTGGCAGTGGATGGTAGTGACGGGTGGTGAGTGGTGTGGCAAGTGGTGGTGAGGGATGGGTGGTGGTGGCGGAAGACGGTGGTGGAAAATGGTGGCGGGTGGTGGCTAGTGTTGGATGGTAAAAAAAAAAAAACTCAAAACGAAAATACATTTTTTGTGTGTTCATTTTTTGGCCAGATTTATAAACTGAAACCATTAATTTATAAATCAAAAATTTTACCGAACAAATTTTTATTTAAATTTTTAAAATTTTTATAAATATAAACTAAAAATTAAAAATATAAATGTTATCAAACGACACTGAGTGTCTGTTTTGTGTTGTGGTGGGTTGCGCTACATAAATTCTCATTCATTAGACGGTTGTGAATTTGGCCACCAACCCCCGAATTAATAACTTCTCATTAATTAGACGGTTGCGAATCGTCCCTAGAAATAAATGGTTACTTATACCATGTACATAATTTTTAAAAAGTAATGTTAGGGATTTTAAATAATTTATTAAATATTTTATGAAACTTCTTATATGGATGTGAGATCCAAACATATATAGGTTTGTGTGGATCCCACACCTATATAAAAGATTTGATAAAATATTTATTAATTATTTGAAATTAAGAAAATGTAAATTTTGATATTTAGTTAAGAAAATCAGGACCTAAAGTCTCTTTTATATGAAGAATTTGTCAATCTCTTCTTATAATTCCATGTCAAGCTAAACATAGGATATATACAAAAAAATTGATAATTCTAAGATTATTAGTCCTAATAATGCTAATTTCATCTAATATTTGTATATTTTATATAAAAGTATGTATAATAAAAAAATATACAATATTTATTTTTAAATCATCTTAATATATTTTAGGATTTCCTTTAAGACCTTTTTAAGTTGGGTCCCGGTGCATTGTTAAAGTTAGTTGGCCATACCTAATATATAAGTTGTAACCCACATCATTTGTTTTTGTACTCAAAGCTTCATTTAATTTGGTATAAATTTTAATTTAATTTATAAAATTTGGCTGAATACATTGCTAATTATAGAAGTACTATGGATTTGGGGAAGGCACAGCAGGCTGTTGTGCTCCCTTATGGAGGTTTGTCTCGACTATTTTTTAATAATCCGAATCATTCATCTTATAAGATTTGTCGAGTAGATTATTCATATAAAAAATTAAATTGATTAGACATCTACAGCCCTATAACAATAACAATAAGAGCATATTTGTTTTTAAAAAAATTAACGGTTAACATAATTTTTATAATTTTTAAAAACAATTATGACCTAATCATGGGGTACAAATATTTAATTAATTTGATTTTTTGCAATGATAATATTATCACTGAATCCCACAATATGAACGGTTTCGATTATCGATTGAGACTCAAGAAGAACCTCCACAAAAGAGCACAATAGGTTAGTATGCCTTGAAGGCACAATAGGCTCTTATTAAAAAGGATAGTTCAGACAGTTCAATAAAATTTGAATAAATGCATCCTTAATTAATGATAATTAATGATTTAGTTGGAAACTTTACAGGTTTGCTTGTAAGATAATCGATAATTTTTTTATATTTAATTTTTTTTATTTTTTGATTGAATTCATAAGTACAACCTCGTTATTTTGTGCTTAACACTAAAGATGTATAAAAATGCTATCAAATCTAAATATTAAAAATTTTGAATATCATATTTACTTTCATAACATATGTAATACATTATACAAACAACAATAACAATAACGCCCAATTAGTACACATTAATATGCGTTTGGAAAGAAAAAGACTTGATACACACCTAACCTTTAGCATAGTGCATCCCAAGACTTGAACCCATAATATTTTGATAATTTTTCTCTTGGGTCAATCTAGTCTTTGTAATTCTGATTGTATCAATTTTACCTTTAAATTTTTTATATTATATTAATTTAGTCTAATTGATAAGGCCTATTGAGAGATTGAAGTCCAATTTGAAATTGTTCATTACCATTTTTAATAGACTACTTTGTCTTTGATTTATGTCTAATTTCTTAATTGTTGTTATTAATTAGATAAATGAACTGCAAGTACAATTTGCCATAATTTTGGGGGATTAGCATAGTAGGTTCATATGCTTTCAAATAATATCCAATCTAGAAAAATAAATGAAAAATAATACCCAATTTAGAAAAATGATACGAAATGTTAGGGATAGTGAAAAAGTTATCATAAAATACTTTATGAATATTTTTCTTAAAAGTGTAATGGATTATTATATATGTAATTTAAATATAGAGAATCTTTCATCATTGTCAAGTTACTCTCGATTGAATGGTGTCTAATTAATCTAGAAGTGTAATACTAGTACATGTAGAGTAATAGCACGTACTGATGATGATTTAACTGATAAATTATGAAGAAGAAACAGAAGAAGAAGAAAAGGAAAAGGAAGGGAAAACCTGAAGCAGCGATCATCAGCGGCTTTATGAGTGCGAACGATGTGTTCGAGGCGGTACTTGGCGCGGGTGTAATCACGACGGCGGTTGGAGAGGAGGAGGGCCGAGCATCCCATGCGGAAGAAGCAGTTGGGGATGAGCATGGAGCGGTCTCGGCCAGGGTACCAGTTGTATCCGACCATCTCAGTGCTCACCACAACTGCATAGTTGTTTGGGTTGGCCTGGAGCATGTCACGTGCCAGGTCCAAGCCTATGATCCCAGCGCTGCAACCCATCCCTCCCAGGTTGAAGCTCAGTATGTTGCCCCTCATCTTGTAATGGTTTATGATCATGGCCGACAGTGACGGTGTCGGGTTGAATATGCTGCAGTTCACCACCAGTATCCCCACGTCCTTTGGCCTGATCCGCGTCTTCTCAAACAGCTCGTCCAGTGCCCCGAACATCACCATCCCTGCTTCTGCCCTCCCTTCCTTCATTGTCGAGCAATTCTCTTGCGACATTATTGCTTTCGGCACGTACGTTTCGTCCCCCACCCCTGAACTCTCCACAATTCTCCTCTGGAATTCGATGCTTCCTTGGTCAAATTTTCCTGATTTTCGTGCTAGCTCAATGAATTGCTCCTTCGACACCTGCATTGTCCATTTTCATTTGAATAATACTATATGTATTAATTACTATATACATTAGTGTACATTAATATTATATATACTAGTACAAGATATATACTACTACTACCACCACTAACAACACCACTACTAATTAACCAAATTTAATTTTAATTAATTAACTAATGAATGAGGAGGTGCTGCTCTGTTGTGTGAGTGGGTGGGTGCGTACCTTGAGGTCGTCGCTGGGCTTGTAACACGCAAAATCAATGAGATAGATGGACCGGGGGCGAGACATAAAGTAAACGGAAAGCGTGAAGACAAAGACGGCAAAGAAAGCAAGGACGGTGGCGAGATCATAGCGAGTAGTACTATCCCAAAGCTTCCTCCAAAGCTCTTCCCTACTAAGACTCCCTACCTCCGCACTAAACACCAGTACAAACACCGGTACTGTGGCCAGGTAGATGCCGTGATTTATGAGATAATGGTAACCTAACTTCACGTACTTGAGGTTCACCGACTGCACAAAGTCCGGCAGACGTCTCCTCACCCTCACTGAGAATGTTAGCGACCCAGCATCCGGCCCTGTGGACTCGATTCCTCTGTTAACAATCTCAGTTGATAGGAGATGTTGTTCTCCTCCTCCTCCTCCTCCGGCCATTTCTTTTGGTCTTGATCAAGGCTAGGACTCCCAACTCCCAACTTCCTGCTGGCCCACCTCACCGTAGTTACAGCTAGCACTCTTGTTGGGTCTCTCTCTCTCTCTCTCTCTCTCTCTCTCTATCTCATTCTCTTAACAAGGAGAAGATGATGGTGAGGATGTTAAGTTCTACTACTTTATAAAGAAAAGCAATGCTAAAGTAAATCCAAATGAGGTGGATGAGGGATAGTTAATGTCCACAACCAACTTTGGAGAGGCGCAGTTGGATGTAATAAATTCTGCAATAAAGCAATTCAGCAGCCGGCTGTTCAAAGTTTTCAACAAACCCCGAGTCTCTTTAAAAAAAAAAAACAAACAAACAAACACCCCAACTCTCGTTTAGGTCTCTTTCATATGTTCTACTCGTCAGCATAGTTATTTGAATTTCAATCTACATTTTACCATCCTACAATCTTATGTTTTATTTGGCCAAATCCTTATTCGACTTGGATAGTTAGATCTTATTGGATTATAGAATCCATCTAGATCCCATCCTACCCCATCTAATTTTGAAGCAATATTGTGTTGTATCAGTTATTTTATTGTAAATAAGAAAAATATAAATTCAAATATTTTAATAATTTAGTAAAACTAACAAGTTGGGGAAAAAAATAATAATTGAACTCATTCTGCTTTGGTGTGTCTCGCCTTCCCTCTCTTTAATAATATACCATGTATCTATTTGTTGGATTCTCTTTGTTTTAATTTCTTTGTGAATCCTTTCTCTTTTACTCTATTTGTGGTTTTCTCTCATTTATTTTTATTACAATTGTGCATTATTAAAGTATGATACTATTTTCAATTCCTTTTCTTTTTTCCTTTGTTGATGACACTTTTCGACAGTAGATTTTCAGTATATATTGCCACAATTATGAGCCACTTGATATATAAAAATCGTCTTTATCTCGGCATTTGGTTTATTGGCCCGGGACTCAATCACTTAGACACATTGGTAAATTAAGACCAAAAAAAGCCCATTTCAGCATTTTATCCCTTTCGAGTCTCAACAACAATAGCTTTTATTAATTTCAATCCTTGAAATGCTTGGAGTCGATCTATAATACAAAGCCTAAGACCCTCCAAGTGGCACGGCACCCTGAGATGGCTTCAAACCATCAATTTAAACCATTTTGAACATTCTACGACAACAAATAGTCTAAAAACGCTATGGGCACAACTTCTACAGCAAGGCCTAAGCACCTCAAAGGCTTAGCACATTAGTTCAAGGCTGAAAAGGCCCAATCAACCGCAAACAAAGCTCATTGAAGCAACAGCATGCCATTTTGGCCCAAAATCCATCATTTTGAGCCGATACTTCAGCAACAAAGCACTGCCCAACCCTTGCCAACACATGGGAAACCTTTCAAAATAAACCCATGTCCACCTTAGCCTGGCCTAATCAGCCAAAAATTATTTCAGTAATCAAACCAATCAACTTGAGCATAGAAGCTATAGGTCTGTTCGCTCTATGAGCAACCATATCCACCGCTCTGTGAGTAGGATCTTGGAGAGGAAAGCAGGGCAGGCAAAAAAATCATTCCTGTGGTTGATAGTGGAGCAAAGGCTGGACATGGATAGGCATGTGAGAGGGTAATTTATAAGTAAATTGGGCCGAGCTGAGTAATGGGCCGTTCGATGGGCTGCGGTAGAAAAGGGCTTGGCAAGTGGACTGTAATAAGTAGCGCAGTCCAAGTGGAATGACAGTTACCACGGTCGGAGTGGAGTTAGCTCGGTCATAGTGTTTGAAGCCAAGGCATGATGGCTTTGTTGTTCAAAATTGTGAAATTAAATAAATAGATTTATAAAGAAAACAAATTATATACCAAGAACATATGCTGATAATTACAACTAGATTTCAACAGAAATACACAAAAAACAATAAAGGGTAAAGAGACAAAACCGAAGCCTGCACGGAAGCAGTTTCCTTAAAACAGATTTCGCCGCCTCACGGGTCGAGTGCTTGAGGAAACCCGGCGTCTGTCTCCCAGGATACGACGGTCAAAACCAGCTACGGCAGAAGCACTATCTGTCTAGCTTAGCGAACAAAATAATGGCAGCACTCTCTCACAATAGGAACTATCAAGTAAATTGACTTGTAAAATGGAAGCAAAAATTTCTATATTGAAACTTGACAGGAAGGTCTCAATTTATACATGTATAGGGGAGAGAGAAAAAGCCTCCAGCCTTTAAGGCTAGTCATTAAAGCACCAAGTATCCATAGCCCCTTTCCACAAAATAAAAAGTATGGATGCCCAAAGGATTCACACCCTTTAGCCAAGAAAAAAGATTTAAATACTCTTTAAAATCCTATTCATGAATCTAACATCATGAAGCAATTTCTTGGCAATTTCTTATTCAAAACCCAATGATTTTTGGCTCACTTGGACCCACCACAAAAAATGGTTATGACTCACTTTAATATTTAATTAAAGTCACCACACTTTAATATTAAATTAAAGTCCCCAAAAATTATTTTTTCCAACAATCCCCCACATGAATAAAAATTGACCGAATGACTCAACAAACGGACATCGTTCAACAATAAAGACTCTGAGAGAGAGTACAACGGACTAACCCCGACATCAGAGAAGGTAACTTTTGGCTTTGAACCTCTCCCAGTGAAAACCTATCGAGTTTACTAGCAGATCAGTGAATAAGACATCTTGAACTGCTCTACCGTTTATGTAAACTGAGACAATAGATCTCACACGGGAATTACTCCTACCACCATTATATTCTCACTGGTGTGCCCTGTGTGGCCCTGGACACTAGCCTGGTTCAGCGAGTGGTTTCAAAGAATCTTGGCCTGCCTAATTCTTCTAGAAGCGGCCCCACTTCAAACTCACACAGGCGACTCTACTAAAGTATCCTGCAACACTTAGCTCAACAGCTTAACACATAAGAGTCATTAAAAGCTCAGCTTATCCTCTACACTTGCAGGTATCACTAATAGAAGGAATGGCTGGAGGTTTAACCTCCTCAGTGACATACCACCATTACACGCAATTAGGTTGTCCCATTGAACCTAGATCTTGGGATCTCCAGTCAACTAGGTTGGGTTTCCATTCCGGTAACTTCCAAAGGCCTTAACCCCATTCCTTTTGACGACGTTTCGACTAACACTCGATTTAACCCTTTGGTTAGCGGATCCGCAATGTTGTCCTTAGACTTTACAAAGTCTAAAGAGACAACTCCATTCAAGAGTACTTGTCGTATGGAATTATGTCTACAACGGATATGTCTAAACTTTCCATTATACATATTACTCTGCGCCCTACCAATTGCAGATTGACAATCACAATGAATACAAATAGCTGGCACAGGTTTAGACCAACGTGGAATATTTTCAATGAAATGGCGATTAGATAGCCAAGCCTATTTAGTTGCATTTTTGCATGTGTTACATAAGGCAATTCTGTATCCTTAGGATCATGCATAATTTCTAATGAGTTTCTATTTTGGCTTGGAGTACTCGGTAAGCTTTATGCTTTAGCATCCTTGCATGCGTGCCACCAAGAGTGAACACATATCCACTAGTGGACTTTGAGTCCTTTATATCTGATATCCAATTCGTGTCACTATATCCTTCAAGCACCGCTGGATATCGAGTATAATGCAGCCTATAATCCCGAGTGTAGCGTAAATACCTTAACACCCGCACAATGCCCTTCCAATGAGAAGCATCAGGATTACTTGTGTATCTACTAAGCCTGCTAACCGAGTAAGCTATATTTGGCCTAGTACAACTCATCAGATACATTAAACTTCCAATTACCTGAGAATATTCTAACTGAGAGACACTTTCTTTATTATTCTTGGTAAAGTGTAGACTTAAGTCTACATGTGTCGAAAACACACTCGTATCTGATCCACTAAACTTCTCAAGTATCTTATCAACATAATGAGACTGAGATAGTACAATTCCGTCAGAGATTCTGGTAATATTAATTCCCTGAATAACATCTGCAATGCCCATATCCTTCATGTCAAATTTAAAGTTTAACAACTTCTTGGTAGTTTTGATCATTTCATCGTTACTACCTATAATGAGCATATCATCAACATATAGACACAAAATGACATAACCTCTGTCAGTGTCTTTGACATAAATACACTTGTTACAGTCGTTGATTCGAAACCCATTTGACAACATTACATTGTCAAACTTCTCATGCCATTGTTTAGGCGCTTGCTTCAAACCATACAAAGATTTGACAAGTTTACAGACTTTCTTGCTTTGTCTTGGAGCTGAAAACCCTTCAGGTTGCTCCATGTAGATTTATTCATTCAAAACTCCATTTAAGAAAGCTGTCTTTACATCCATCTGGTGTATCTCAAGATTGCGCAAAGCTGCTATCGCAATCACTATGCGAATGGATGTTATCCTAGTTACAGGTGAGTACGTATCAAAGTAATCCAGGACTTCTCGTTGCCTGTATCCTTTGATAACGAGCCTCGCCTTATACTTGTCAATAGACCCATCGGCCTTCATCTTTCGTTTAAAAATCCATTTGCAGCCTAAAGGCTTACAACCTGGAGGTAAATCTACCAACTCCCAGGTGTGGTTCTGTAAGATGGAGTCAATCTCACTTTTGATCACTTCTTTTCATAAAGGACTCTCAGGAGAAGTCACAGCTCCGTGGAAAGTTTGAGGTTCGTTCTCAACCATATAAGTCAAGAAGTCTGGACCAAAAGATTTGGATGTCCTTGTAATACCCCTGTTCTGTAGTATGCTAATTGGTCCTTAATATGAGTACAATGATGTGTTTTGTATGATTTTATGTGCCATTTTGCGAATACAATCGATTTCGAAGTTCTATCCGTTCACCATAGGAATATCTGTTTGAATAATCTGCTTTGGAAATTAAATTGGAGGCCTTATCGGCCACAGAACCCGAAATCGATTACGCCATTGTGATTGGCATAATTTTTAGAACCTACGGTGAAATTTAATTGAAAATTGATTTAGGTCAGATTAAATTGATTAAACTAGCGAGTTAGTGCTCTATTCTTTGATATTATAATAATACTACAAGAAAGGGGCTTTTAATATGAGCACTACACAATCAATTACTCCCTTTTTGCTTCACTTGGCTGATATACACTC